TCTCCCCCCTCCCCCCCCTCCCACCGCCCATCTCTCTTTGAACAATTTCTGAAGGCCCTCTTAATTTCTTACATCAAGAATAACACGTGACAGGTTCACCGGACGATATTGTCTTACAGTGTGGGCAGTCTGGAAGTTGTTTTTTTTTTCAAAAAAAAAGCAATTATAAAATAGCTGGAAATTCTTAACCAGGAATCATGACACCATAAAAACATTGCTTTAAATGTCCCACATTTTGATAATTATAAACGTTTCATTAAATAAAAAGATCAATTGTATCTTGCAAAAAGAATTTCATGAAATGATCAGTTAGAAAAACCTAACAAAGTAAATCAATTTTTTTTTTATCTGAATCGCTCTTCAATATGAAAACTGACCGCTTATCATTTCTTTTGTTTACCATGGTATGCTTGCAAATTAACCCTTAGCCGCTCGACCGCCGTGGAATGATGCCCCCGTGTACCGTGCACCATCTGATCAGTGGTCGAGCCACTTGTAAGCGTGATTCACCGACACGATTCGTCTGCTACGGCGCACGACCTCAACAAACGTGTCGAATTGAACACAGCACGGCGGTGTCGTCTGAGACATTGCATTCCTTGTAGGTCAAAGGTTAATTGTGTCTTCCGCTGAATGATGAGAGAGGCGCGTTTTCATGAAACTGGTATGTTTCATTTAAAGTAAATAAAGAACAATGAAGGTGTCGCCCAAAAGACTTCCCCAGGGACAAACAAATGCATAAACTCGGTTCCAAAAATATAAAGCTGGATCAAATCCCTAGACGTATCTGAAAACTGCGAGTGCATTGGGGAGGGGGACAAGAAAAACGCTGAAAAAGAAGTATATGTGCACAGGTGGCTTAAATGTAAGCAGTAACGTGGGGAGGTGGCTTAAATGTAAGCAGTAACGTGGGGAGGTGGGATAATGTGCTATACCAGTGGTTCTCAACCTTTCTAATGCGACGAACCTTTAGTATAGTTCCTCATGTTGTTGTGACCTCCAGCCATAAAATTATTTTCTTTGCTATCTAATAAATATGTGTTTTCCGATGGTCTTAGGAGACCCCCATTTTGGGGTCGTTTGACCCCCCCCACCAATGGGTCGCGACCTACATTTTGACAACCGATGTGCTATTAAATAATAAATACGTTTCGATATACAAAAAGTCAGTATTGATATGAAATACGCTACAAAGCCATACTAGCTGCCGTCATGATTGGGTCTACAACAGACATGGACACACCAGGTGACTTACTTAGCCTTCAAGATACATAAGGAAACAGCCATTGACATATTGAGCCTACAATAGTCACCCGGGACCGTCGCGCTGATACAGTATTCAATGGTCACAATGGACACATCAGTTGACACATTGATGAGCCAAAGACTAGCAACCATTAGCGGTATGGTTTAATCCCCATGGTGGACCACAGCCAATTATATTGTTCTTTTGTGACACCTGTTTTCTAATTTGTAGGTATGTCCGGATAATGTAGACATATTTTTTTTTTTAAACTTGTATCCCAAGTGAAGCTATTCGTTACCATAACTATTTTATATTTCCAAAAGTGTACCTCTTCACTGTGAAGTAGCGGTCAACACCCCCTAAATCTCTGTAATTATCAGATGAATTGTCGAGCTGATCATCCACTTTACACTTTGCCATCTTATTAAGATTTAGTAGCCTTTCTGGGCCGACAAGCCAACCCTTTGAAAATTTCACACCAATTGCTTTGGAGATTTCCGATATATCTGTAAAATGAGCACATAAAATGTGTAATATGATGTGTGAATCCAAGCAATGGAAGTAATGCGTATGGTGGCTTGAAGGGATATCCAAGTGAAAGTCTATCGTAAGTCAGTTTATTTACCTGAAGTTGATGAAGAATGTCAAAACTGCTTTCAAAACTGGCATGTGATTCTCTATAATTTGTGAGTAGCCTCCCTTAATTTTCGTTTAACATATTTAGAGATCCCTAGACTGTTAAACATCCGAACAAATGTTTGTTCAAAATACGGGCTATAAAGTTAACAAAGTTTAATTGATTTATGGGGAAACATCTCTTAATAGTCCCGCGTCAACTTGCCACTCATATTGGTCAGTAAGAGGATCAACTATAATCTCTCACTGGTCTGTTTTACTACAACTCCACCTTCCCATTTGGCAGTAATCAACTCGATTACCCCGTTGACCATTGGCCAACAGCACACTTAGTTATGCGGCAAGGTAGGTGCCACTTAGTAGAACTAAGAAACACCAGCTCTAAACACAAGCTGTGGGTAAGCCCCAGGCTGTACAGTCACACGCACGCTCACACACTGATATCAAAAGTAGACCAACGCTGAATGCTGGGCACATAACCTCTTGATTGGCCACTTATGCCCGACGATTGACCATCCTATAAACAAGTAGTATTGTCGCGCTAATGGAGTCTTAAGCAAATGAGAAAAACAAAGTATGGGGAAACCTGAAAAAAAAAAAAAAGAACGCAACAAAACAAAGAACGTGTCGGCAAGATGCCTTCTTCAGCGAAAACACAACAGTAAAAACAATATAATTATAAAAAAAAATAATACTAATAAATAAAAAACCAACCCCGCTTCAATGTAGTATCCGAGACGACAGCAAGAGGAATGTGACAGAACATAAGATTATAGAGATTAATGAGTCTTTAACAAATTTTAAGTTGACGCCGGTTTAAGACAAAACAGCCTACGTGTCATGTAGATTGAATTCTCTCTCTCTCCCCCCCCCCCCCAGNCACATAGGTCTCTTACAATGTCTTGCTACACATAGGTCTCTTACAATGTCTTGCTACACATAGGTCTCTTACAATGTCTTGCTACACATAGGTCTCTTACAATGTCTTGCTACACATAGGTCTCTTACAATGTCTTGCTACACATAGGTCTCTTACAATGTCTTGCTACACATAGGTCTCTTACAATGTCTTGCTACACATAGGTCTCTTACAATGTCTTGCTACACATAGGTCTCTTACAATGTCTTGCTACACATAGGTCTCTTACAATGTCTTGCTACACATAGGTCTCTTACAATGTCTTGCTACACATAGGTCTCTTACAATGTCTTGCTACACATAGGTCTCTTACAATGTCTTGCTACACATAGGTCTCTTACAATGTCTTGCTACACATATGTCTCTTACAATGACTTGTATCACATAGGTATCTTGCAATATCTTGTTTCACATAGATATCTTAAAACGTTTTGTATCGCATAGGTACCTTACAATGTCTTGTACCACATAGGTATCTTAAAATGTCTTGTTTCGCATAGATCTTTTATGGCGGCATACATCACAACTTAATTTTTATTGTTTCGGAAATTTTCGGTTCGAGAGCCAGTCATTGACCAAGTTTCATCCTTACGCAGCCCGTCATTGACCAAGTTTCATCCTTACGCAGCCAGTCATTGACCAAGTTTCATCCTTACGCAGCCAGTCATTGACCAAGTTTCATCCTTACGCAGCCTCTCAAAAATGCCATTTTTATTGACGTAGCCCTCAACCTTTTGCTGGCTTTTATTTTTAACTTTTATTTCTAAGGAAATCGGTATAATTTGTTTAAAAATTATAAATGGTAAACGTGAGCTTAAATAGGTCAATATGCATAGACAAAATATAAAGTTCTCACTCGTCACTCTAACTTCAGCTTAACGATTGGACTTGTTGAAGCCCCCGGGGGTTGGGGGAGGGTGGAGGGAGGGGTAAAACAAAAACCAAGACAAAAATGTAACCCCCACCCCCCCCGCAACCTGTGGTTTGTTTCTTGACCTATCACGTTGCTTTCGGGGTGCGGAGCCAGGTCGGGACTGGTCATCTGGGCAGCACTGAAAATGATAACTTAAAGTTCCTGATACCTCATAACATTATCATTGATGCGTCCCTGTCCTCAGGTGTGCCGCTGTTCATATGGTTTTTCGTGTACCTCTCCATCGACTACTATCAGTCGCTGGAGACCGCCGACATCTGGTACGAGCCCATGGACATGGACGCCGACTGGGAGTATTGGAACTACCAGATCGACGTGCCCATCTTGTACGTGCCCGCGTGCCCGGCACTCACGGAGATGTTCCTAGTGGGCAAGAATGCCACCACGCGTATGTGAAACTTGGGAAAAAAAAACATTTTGTATTGAGTTATGTTTTATCTTTATTAAATCATGGTTTAAGAGAATTTGTGTTTGAGCGTGTGCAGACCCCATTAATCGATCGAGACGTTGTAAATAAATTGTTATTATTATTGTTGTTGTTGTTGCTGTTGTTGTTCGTCCTTCGCATGCAGTGAGAACCAAGGCGTTCGAATTGACTTGCGCTGTATCTTGTTTAAAGAGAGGGAGATTAGCTGGAGTTGTCAGCCTCCCCCTCTTGCCCTTTCCTATTTGTTCCAGTGGTAAGACTTGGTCAAGACGACTGGAGATAGACGAGGACGCACTGGATGACCAGCAGTGACTCGTGTGGCCACGTGTGCTCTTGATGCGTTCGACAAGGCAGAAGTTGTCGCATTTTCATTGTGTCAATGTCATACCGCCTACGGGAGTACAACTCCGGTTTTCATTTTAGAGTTTGCCTTCTCTTAGATGAGCTGCCATCTAGGGTTAACGAGTTCCATCCACCAGGGGGAGCTGTATTTTTTGTTTTTGCTAGTCCAGGCTTTTGCTCGGGATTGAAATCCAGTCCCACACGCTTGGGATAGACCACGCAGTGCGAGAATGCAGCGCTTACATTCAATCAGTGCTAGCTTGATTTTTAGATCAATCGCAAAGTTGAATTATAACTTGATTAATAATTCTTTAATGTCCATTTTAAAACATCACGGACACATGGACATTTATAAGGCTGAGTAGCGGCAAGTTGGGATCACACATGGACTAGTTGATTTATCAACCTAGTAATCAGGCAATGTTATAGCTTGTTGATTTATCAACCTAGTAGTCAGGCAGTGTTATAGCTTGTTGATTTATCAACCTAGTGTCAGGCAGTGTTGCAGCTTGTTGATTCATTAACCTAGTACGAGTCAGTGTTATAGCTTGTTGATTTATCAACCTAGTGTCAGGCAGTGTTGCAGCTTGTTGATTCATTAACCTAGTACGAGTCAGTGTTATAGCTTGTTGATTTATCACCCTAGTACCAGGCAGTGTTATAGCTAGTTGATTTATCCACCAAGTACCAGGCAGTGTTATAGCTAGTTGATTTATCAACCTAGTACCAGGCAGTGCTATAGCTTGTTGATTCATTTACCTAGTACGAGTCAGTGTTGTATCTTGTTGATTTATCAACCTAGTACGAGGCAGTGTTATAGCTTGTTGATTCATCAACCTAGTACCAGGCGGTGTTACAGCTAGTTGATTCATCAACCTTGTACCAGGCAGTGTTATAGCTAGTTTATTTATCAACCTATACTACCATGCAGTGTAGTGTCTAGATGAGTTATCAACCCAACACCATGAAGAGTATCATCTTTTAAAAATCATACCATTGATCAGATTGATATTCATTCGCTGACGCGGTGACTCCCACATTAGCTGCAATAACATATGCCCCCCCCCTGAAAAGTGCTGTCGTCAAATAAAGTGACAAGTTATGGAAAGACAGAGGTGAGAGATTTGTGACAACGATCCTCCCTCCTCCTCCCCCACCCCCCACCCGTTCACCAGCACTGTGCTAAAACACATTCAGTGCGCACGCAATGTGAATCTTTTTTTTTTGTTTCCCATTGAAGTTATACCTAGACAACGATCCTCCCTACTCCTCCCCCCCCCCCCACCCGTTCACCAGCACTGTGCTAAAACACATTCAGTGCGCACGCAATGTGAATCTTTTTTTTTTGTTTCCCATTGAAGTTATACCTGTGCTCGGCTTCAGCTCAATAGCCAAGGGCTACAAGTACTCGATGGACACCAAGAACAGCCACCCACTGATCGCGTTCGATGAGCTCAACTCTCAATCGAAGCAAGTGCCCACAGATTTAAAGTTTAAAGTTGTCCTGGACAAGAACGTTAATACAGAAAAGGTTTTCGGAAACGCATTCTGTAAGTAATTCGGTTACCTGCCCCTAGAGTCTTACACGAGCTTGAGTCTTGCCATTTGAAGCACTGCTGGGGACGTCACGATCCACACCTGTCTCCTTGAGGTCACGTCGTCACGCTTCACAGCTGTTTCTGTGAAGTCACACTGTCACGCTCTACACCTGTTATTGTGGAGTCACACTGTCACGTTCCACACCTGTTACCGTAAAGTCACACTGTCACGCGCTACACCAGTTACTGTGAAGTCACACTGTCACGTTCCACACCTGTTGTTGTGAAGTCACACTCCACACCTGTTATTGTGAAGTCACACTGTCACGCTCCACACCTGTTATTGTTACTCTGAAGTCAACCTTAAATAAAATAATTATGAAATGCTTTTAAAAAAAATACAATAAGGTCCTGTCCCCTTTCTTTTGCCATCATTACAAACTCATCATCCCCTTTCTTTTGCCATCATTACACACTCATCATCCCCTTTCTTTTGCCATCATTACAAACTCATCATCCCCTTTCTTTTGCCATCATTACAAACTCATCATCCCCTTTCTTTTGCCATCATTACAAACTCATCATCCCCTTTCTTTTGCCATCATTACACACTCATCATCCCCTTTCTTTTGCCATCATTACACACTCATCATCCCCTTTCTTTTGCCATCATTACACACTCATCATCCCCTTTCTTTTGCCATCATTACAAACTCATCTTCCCCTTTCTTTTGCCATCATTACAAACTCATCATCCCCTTTCTTTTGCCATCATTACACACTCATCATCCCCTTTCTTTTGCCATCATTACACACTCATCATCCCCTTTCTTTTGCCATCATTACACACTCATCATCCCCTTCCTTTTGCCATCATTACACACTCATCATCCCCTTTCTTTTGCCATCATTACACACTCATCATCCCCTTTCTTTTGCCATCATTACACACTCATCATCATCTTCAGATTACTCCACGTCCGGCGCTCTGGTAGCCGAGACGTTCATGACCCATATATTCATCAACTACTGGAGGATCAAGCAGGGCCTGGAGCCGATCACCTTCCACTTGGCCACACAGCAGATGCCGATACCCAAGAGGAACGCCAACCCGATGCGGCAGGGCATCATCGCCAACACCAAGTCGGTGTTCTTCTTTGTCTTTCTAGCGTTCGTCTGCTTCGCCACCAGGACCCTCGTGGAGGAGCGGGAGCTGAAGCTCAAGGTAAGTCCCATCGGCCTTCTAACGCGCTTGAATTTCAAAATGCGGACCATCTCTTGCGGTGTGGGTATGTGGTTTTAAAACACCGCCACAGACGAACGTTGCCGTGGGCGTTGGATGTTGCGCCTGCGGATAAACGGGGGGGGGGGGAAATTCGGTTAAAACGGCAACTTGAACAAATAAAAAGGGACTTTTAATATCAATAAATAATAATGATAATAAATTATTGGCATTTGAAATATGAAAACATAGATCTACACATTTTTTTTACGGATTTTAGAATAGTCTTTAGGGGGTACCTCACAGTCGCAGATGAATTGTTCACGGTAGGCTTACCTAAACAATATTAATTTGACAAATACATGGTTTCACTTTAACGCCGATTCGGAAATGGTGCATATTAACCATTTGGCCTCCTAACATAGTGCGCGATGCGGAGAGTACAGAGTAGAATATACAGTGATTGTATCTGTACTTGGATTATTATTGAGGTTACTAAATTCTTAAAAGGTTCACAAGAAAATGTATCGGGTAGGATGATGCTAGATCCATCAATATATATATGTATATGTATGTATATATTTATTTATTTATATATTTATTTATTTATCTATTTATTTATTTATTTACATATATATTTATATAATATATATACATATTTATATATTTAGTTGCCTGAAATCGATTGTAGATGACGATTTGAATACTGCAATGGGTAAAAAGCCAAAGACTGACTAGTCAATGGGGAGATAACGGCGAGACGGCAAGGGTACGCCCAGAAAAAGGAGAGTTGGTGTACGAAAGCAAACAAATTTAAGAGTTTTGGAAAAATAAAATTCATATTGATGACACCCTCCCCCCCAAAAAAAAACAAACAAAACAAACAACAACAACAAAACAACAAACAAAAACAACAACAAACAAACCGCGTTTTTCAATGGATATGAATACACCACGCGCCACAACCCACGCCCCACACACCATACCCCCCCAACCCTTCTGCTTTCCAAATATGATTTATAAAAATCGCTTCAAGGTGTTGTTTAGCCAAAAAATGACGTTATTTGGTTTCAAATATGCAACTCTTTAACACCAAAGAGCTCCAGAGACTAGGTATGTCGACTTTCTACTACAGTGGTCGGCAAACTCATTGGTCAAAAGAGCAAAAAATCATCAGCAGAAATATTTGAAAAAATAATTGAGAGCCAAATTTCTTTTCATGAACCTTTTTCCAGAGTCAAAAACCGATTTGTAGCCGACTGGGTGTGCCGCACTCAGGTCGCTAAAGAACCGATTTGTGGCCGACTGGCTGTGCCGCACTCAGGTCGCTAAAGAACCGATTTGTGTCCGACTGGCTGTGCCGCACTCAGGTCGCTAAAGAACCGATTTGTGGCCGACTCTCTGTGCCGCACTCAGGTCGCTAAAGAACCGATTTGTGGCCGACTGGCTGTGCCGCACTCAGGTCGCTAAAGAACCGCTTTGTGGCCGACTGGCTGTGCCGCACTCAGGTCGCTAAAGAACCGCTTTGTGGCCGACTGGCTGTGCCGCACTGCGGTCGCTAAAGAACCGATTTGTGGCCGACTGGCTGTGCCATGTGCCGCACTGAGGTCGCTAAATAACCGCATGCTGCACGTGAGCCGTGGTTTGCTGACCACTGCTCTACTAGACCTTCAGACATTAGCCCCCCCCCCAAACTCTTCCCCTCACCCCCCTTCAGTCTTCACATCACGATTCTGTGTTTTTCGCATTCCAGGAATCCATGACGCTGATGGGGCTGACTGAAGAGATTTACTGGCTCGCCTGGACTTTCGTCAATACGTTCTGGGTTTGCTTCCTGGTGACCGGGACGGTCGTGATGCTGTGTGTCGACCTGACCGGCGGCGGCCACATGTTGCACGCCTCCTCTGCCCTCATCGGGTTCGTGTCGTTCCTGCACATCGCCGACCTCATCTCCTTCTCGCTGCTCGTCTCCTACTTCATCAAAAAGGGTTAGTGTCAAAGCTGTGTATAGTGCTACCACACCTTGGGAAATTTCCCTTAAGATCTTGGGAATTCACTACTCCATTCAGGGCCAAAACTCACTTTTTTAAAAAAAATGCCCAAGATCCTTTAAAAAATAAATCTAATATATTTCATGATCTTGGGAAATCTTTGGAAATGTTTTGACCAAATCTTGGGAATTAAAAAAAGATTGAGTGGCAGCCCTAGTTGTGTACTCGCTGGGTTTGCACAGTTTGGATGTGTACACGTTGAATGTTTACACTTTGTCTGTGTCCGTGTTGTCTGAGTATATTATAGTCGCTGTGCACACGCTGGGTGTGTGAACTTCGACTGTGCACAAGTTGTCTATATTCATGTGATCTGTTTAACATATTATATGTGTAAATCTTAAATGTGTATTTGTGTACATGTTATCTGTGTGCATGTTATCTGTGCACATGTTAACCGTGTTTATTTTATATGCGTGCAGTGTACGTTTCATCTTTGCAAGGTTAACTGCGTATTTAAATGCGTACATGTTATCTGTGTACATGCTTTGGGGTGGGTGTCAGTACTGTAACAGAGGGGGCGGAGTTAATAAGTCTGTAGAGTTGGGTTTTTTTTTGGGACGGATGTAGAATCGTGGGTGAGAAAAACAGGAAGATATGGATAAATGACAACAACAATATATAATGTAAACAAACCCATAGCTTAGTGCTAGAGACCCATTCACCAGTGGCACAGTCTTAGAGACTCATTCACCAGTGGCACAGTCTTAGAGACCCATTCACCAGTGGCACAGTGTTAGAGACCCATTCACCAGTGGCACAGTCTTAGAGACCCATTCACCAGTGGCACAGTGTTAGAGGCCCATTCACCAGTGGCACAGTGTTAGAGACCCATTCACCAGTGGCACAGTGTTAGAGACCCATTCACCAGTGGCACAGTCTTAGAGACCCATTCACCAGTGGCACAGTCCTAGAGACCCATTCACCAGTGGCACAGTCTTAGAGACCCATTCACCAGTGGCACAGTCTTAGAGACCCATTCACCAGTGGCACAGTCTTAGAGACCCATTCACCAGTGGCACAGTGTTAGAGACCCATTCACCAGTGGCACAGTCTTAGAGACCCATTCACCAGTGGCACAGTCTTAGAGACCCATTCACCAGTGGCACAGTCTTAGAGACCCATTCACCAGTGGCACAGTCTTAGAGACCCATTCACCAGTGGCACAGTCTTAGAGACCCATTCACCAGTGGCACAGTCTTAGAGAACCATTCACCAGTGGCACAGTCTTAGAGACCCATTCACCAGTGGTACAGTCCTAGAAACCCATTCACCAGGTGCACAGTCTTAGAGACCCATTCACCAGTGGCACAGTGCCAGAAACCCATTCACCAGTGGTACAGTACCAGAAACCCATTCACCAGTTGCACAGTCTTAGAGACCCATTCACCAGTGGCACAGTACCAGAAACCCATTCACCAGTGGCACAGTCTTAGAGACCCATTCACCAGTGGCACAGTGCCAGAAACCCATTCACCAGTTGCACAGTGCCAGAAAGCCATTCACCAGCGGCACAATCTTAGAGACCCATTCACGAGTGGCACAGTCTTAGAGACCCCTTCACAAGTGGCACAGTGCCAGAAACCCATTCACCAGTGGCACAGTGCCAGAAACCCATTCACCAGTTGCACAGTGCCAGAAACCCATTCACCAGTGGCGCAGCGCTAGAGACCCATTCACAAGTGGCACAGTCTTAGAAACTTTTTGAGCTTTAGAATAGTGTTAGAGAACTTTTGACCAATAGGACAGTTTTTTTAGAGACCTTTTGACCAGTAGGACAGTGGTAGAGACCCATTCACCAGTAGGACAGTCTTAGAGACCTTTTTACCATTAGAACAGTGTTAGAGACCTTTTGACCAGTAGGACAATGGTAGAGACCATTCACCAGTAGGACAGTGTTAGAGACTCATTAACCATTAGGACAGTTTTAGAGAGCATTTGACAGTAAGACAGTGGTAGAGACTTTTGATCATTGGACAGTGTTGGAAAATTTTATACCAGTAAGACAGTGTTAGAGACCTTTCGACTATTAGGACAGTGTTAGAGACATTTTGACCAGTAGGACAGTGTAAGAGAGCCATTCACTAGTAGGACAGTATTTGAGACTCACTGACCCGTAGGACAGTGTTTCCATTCACGATTCACGAATACGACAGTGTTAGAAAACAATTGACCAGAAGAACAGTGTAAGTCACCACTTGATAAGTAGGAAAGGGTTAGCGACCAAATAAAACATGGCTTGAGACCCATTGACCAATAAAACAGTGTTAGAGACCTATTGACCAGTACGACAGTGTAAGAGACGTCTTAACCTCTTGGACAGAGGTCGAGAGCACTGAGATCACTGAGAGCACTGAGAGCAATGAGAACACTTAGAGCACTGAGAGCACTGAGAGCACTGAGAGCATTAATATACGGCATGTTAGGATGTAAGAACGATGTGTATACTAAAAACACGCGTGTTCATGTACTCCCTTCTTGGTCCAGCTCGTCACGTGACTCCTACAATTATCATCGTGAGCTCAGCAAGTCTGTGGATCTCGACGTTCCTGGACACAACAATCAAAAGCTTGCCTGCTAGGTACATCATCGGCACGGTGCTCTTCTGTGTGGGCTACGACTCTGTCATGAGGAAAATTATAGAAAATGAAGGGAGAGGTGAGTGAAGTGAGCAATGAAAGGAGAGGTGAGTAAAGACAGAAATGACGAGAGAGCTAGTAATGATATGAGTGAAGGTAGAGGTGAGTAATGATATAAATGATGAGAGAGCTAGTAATGATATGAGTGAAGGTAGAGGTGAGTAAAGACAGAAATGATGAGAGAGCTAGTAATGATATGAGTGAAGGTAGAGGTGAGTAAAGACATAAATGATGAGAGAGCTAGTAATGATATGAGTGAAGGTAGCGGTGAGTAAAGACAGAAATGATGAGAGAGCTAGTAATGATATGAGTGAAGGTAGAGGTGAGTAAAGACAGAAATGATGAGAGAGCTAGTAATGATATGAGTGAAGGTAGAGGTGAGTAAAGACAGAAATGATGAGAGAGCTAGTAATGATATGAGTGAAGGTAGAGGTGAGTAAAGACAGAAATGATGAGAGAGCTAGTAATGATATGAGTGAAGGTAGAGGTGAGTAAAGACAGAAATGATGAGAGAGCTAGTAATGATATGAGTGAAGGTAGAGGTGAGTAAAGACAGAAATGATGAGAGAGCTAGTAATGATATGAGTGAAGGTAGAGGTGAGTAAAGACAGAAATGATGAGAGAGCTAGTAATGATATGAGTGAAGGTAGAGGTGAGTAAAGACAGAAATGATGAGAGAGCTAGTAATGATATGAGTGAAGGTAGAGGTGAGTAAAGACAGAAATGATGAGAGAGCTAGTAATGATATGAGTGAAGGTAGAGGTGAGTAAAGACAGAAATGATGAGAGAGCTAGTAATGATATGAGTGAAGGTAGAGGTGAGTAAAGACAGAAATGATGAGAGAGCTAGTAATGATATGAGTGAAGGTAGAGGTGAGTAAAGACAGAAATGATGAGAGAGCTAGTAATGATATGAGTGAAGGTAGAGGTGAGTAAAGACAGAAATGATGAGAGAGCTAGTAATGATATGAGTGAAGGTAGAGGTGAGTAAAGACAGAAATGATGAGAGAGCTAGTAATGATATGAGTGAAGGTAGAGGTGAGTAAAGACAGAAATGATGAGAGAGCTAGTAATGATATGAGTGAAGATAGCGGTGAGTAAAGACAGAAATGATGAGAGAGCTAGTAATGATATGAGTGAAGGTAGCGGTGAGTAAAGACAGAAATGATGAGAGAGCTAGTAATGATATGAGTGAAGGTAGAGGTGAGTAAAGACAGAAATGATGAGAGAGCTAGTAATGATATGAGTGAAGGTAGAGGTGAGTAAAGACAGAAATGATGTGAGAGCTAGTAATGATATGAGTGAAGGTAGCGGTGAGTAAAGACAGAAATGATGAGAGAGCTAGTAATGATATGAGTGAAGGTAGAGGTGAGTAAAGACATAAATGATGAGAGAGCTAGTAATGATATGAGTGAAGGTAGCGGTGAGTAAAGACAGAAATGATGAGAGAGCTAGTAATGATATGAGTGAAGGTAGAGGTGAGTAAAGACAGAAATGATGAGAGAGCTAGTAATGATATGAGTGAAGGTAGAGGTGAGTAAAGACAGAAATGATGAGAGAGCTAGTAATGATATGAGTGAAGGTAGAGGTGAGTAAAGACAGAAATGATGAGAGAGCTAGTAATGATATGAGTGAAGGTAGAGGTGAGTAAAGACAGAAATGATGAGAGAGCTAGTAATGATATGAGTGAAGGTAGAGGTGAGTAAAGACAGAAATGATGAGAGAGCTAGTAATGATATGAGTGAAGGTAGAGGTGAGTAAAGACAGAAATGATGAGAGAGCTAGTAATGATATGAGTGAAGGTAGAGGTGAGTAAAGACAGAAATGATGAGAGAGCTAGTAATGATATGAGTGAAGGTAGAGGTGAGTAAAGACAGAAATGATGAGAGAGCTAGTAATGATATGAGTGAAGGTAGAGGTGAGTAAAGACAGAAATGATGAGAGAGCTAGTAATGATATGAGTGAAGGTAGAGGTGAGTAAAGACAGAAATGATGAGAGAGCTAGTAATGATATGAGTGAAGGTAGAGGTGAGTAAAGACAGAAATGATGAGAGAGCTAGTAATGATATGAGTGAAGGTAGAGGTGAGTAAAGACAGAAATGATGAGAGAGCTAGTAATGATATGAGTGAAGGTAGAGGTGAGTAAAGACAGAAATGATGAGAGAGCTAGTAATGATATGAGTGAAGGTAGAGGTGAGTAAAGACAGAAATGATGAGAGAGCTAGTAATGATATGAGTGAAGGTAGAGGTGAGTAAAGACAGAAATGATGAGAGAGCTAGTAATGATATGAGTGAAGGTAGAGGTGAGTAAAGACAGAAATGATGAGAGAGCTAGTAATGATATGAGTGAAGGTAGAGGTGAGTAAAGACAGAAATGATGAGAGAGCTAGTAATGATATGAGTGAAGGTAGAGGTGAGTAAAGATATAAATGATGAGAGAGTGAGTAATGATGCAAATGAAGGTAGAGGTGAGTGAAGACAGAAATGATGAGAGAGTGAGTAATGATAGAAATGGGTGGAGAGGTGAGTAAAGACAGAAAAATGATGAAAGCGTGAGTAGTGATAGAAATGAAAGGAGAGGTGAGTACATATGGAAGCCTAAAAATGTCCCCCCCCCCGGCCCCTTCAGTATGATTAAAAAGCCTCCGCCCGGGCGGAACAGTAAAAACAAAGTTTGATACACCCTCCCTGTCTTTGTGAACCAAGTTTAACCCACCCTCCCTGTCTTTGTGAACCAAGTTTAACCCACCCTCCCTGTCTTTGTGAACCAAGTTTAACCCACCCTCCCTGTCTTTGTGAACCAAGTTTAACCCACCCTACCTGTCTTTGTGAACCAAGTTTAACCCACCCTACCTGTCTTTGTGAACCAAGTTTAACCCACTCTCCCTGTCTTTGTGAACCAAGTTTAACCCACCCTCCCTGTCTTTGTGAACCAAGTTTAACCCAGCCTCCCTGGCTTTGTGAACCAAGGTTAACCCAGCCTCCCTGGCTTTGTGAACCAAGTGAGAGTTTAATGCGCTATTCACTATCATGACCCTTTCAAAAGACGCGTTTTTTTTTTTTTAAATCCTGATGATAGCAACCGGGGCAATTGCACCTTTCGGCCCCACCCTTCGCACGGCCCTGCATACATTTATTTACGGACATTTTGAAGATATTTATAAAAAGTGTTGGTAAGCTGGTGTTTTAGGCAATAAATATGACCACTTCGATGTCTACATTTTGTTGATTGAGTACGCTGTTGCTTTCAGACATGCCGTCGACTTTCGGCAACATTTATTACAGGAGTAAGCAAGAGGGCTCAGTACTGGACGGTACCATCATCATCCTCCTCAACATGTCATTCAATGTCATCGCCACCTGGTACGTGGATCAGGTGTTCCGAGATGACGTCCTAACGGCTAGGCCTTACTACTTTCTATTTACGGTAAGACATGGCCCTCGTAGGGGATCACATTCGGACCCCCTCGTAGGGGATCCCATTCGGACCCCCCCTCGTAGGGGATCACATTCGGACCCCCCTCGTAGGGGATCACATTCGGACCCCCCCATCGTAGGGGATCACATTCGGACCCACCCCCTCGTAGGGATCACATTCGGACCCCCCCTTCGTAGGGGATCACATTCGAACCCCCCCCCCTCATAGGGGATCACATTCGGACCAGTGGCTTAGGAAAGGGGGGTGGGTGGGTGGGTCGGAAGGGATCGGTATCCACACAAATGCCATAACAGTAATGGACTACATCAGGCCTGCACAACATACGTCCCGCTGGCCGTGTGCGGCCCCCCAGCACCCACTTTGCGGCCCGTGAAGTAACGAAATATTCTTTTCATTATAACTTTCTAGCTCCTCTCTCCCCCCCCCCCAACCCCAACTGTCTGATTTTTCTTTCGGCCCGCAGAAGTTTTTCATAAAGTATTACGGCCCGCCTTAATTTTTCGGGCTGTGCAGGCCTGGATTAGATAAACAACGCAGCAATAACCATGTTCGCTGTTCAACAATTTAGCAAGTCTTTGGTCTGCCAATGTAGAACTCTTGATTTTTTTTTTTTTGTCTTCTTATCTGCATATTAACACTGTTAGTAGCGCTGTATTGTTTTGCAAATGTATTCTGTTTGAAGATGTGTTGCGTAGAATGCTTAACAGAGGACTGATCACCGGTATAGAAAGAAAATGATACCAACGCCAGGGATACTAACACCATTCAATTTAATCATACGATCAAACTTCTAGACAAATCCAATATATAGAAAAAAATTAATAAAAATAGATCAACTTTCAGGTCAGCAAGTGAACGGGTACAATCTTCGAAAAATACAAATATCAATATATACACGCACATAAAGAATACAATCTTGCAGTTATATAACGTCAGGTGAACGTCTAGGAAAATCAACACAAAATCTGTCCCGGCTAGGAAAGCTGCCGGCCTATGTTAAGGGATTGAATCAAAACGATCTAGTAAAGAAATTCTAGAAATTTGTTTCACCTGATAGCGTTCTTTATAAGAAATGGAAAATATTTTGGAAAGTGAACGTCCTTTTCCCGATCAACGGAGGGGCGGGTGAAAGAAGTGGCGCAACACAATTAACCAGTGACGTCAATATCAAAACAAAACAAAGAGGAGGCAAAGGGAAGAGGGGGGGGGGGCTAAAATTAGGCCTACACCCAGGCTTTAACAACATTCATCACTTTGGCTAGTTTTACCTTTAAGATGCCAATCAGTCACTTCATAACCAATCGATTATTTGATAGCCAATCGATAATTTAAAAAGCAATCGATAATTTCATAACCAATCTATCATTTCCTAAGCATTCAGTCATTTCGTGACCAAACATTAATTTTATGAAGCAGTCGATTATTTCATAGCCAGTTGGTAATTTCAGCCAACATTACGGTGGTCAGGGTGACCAATGTTTAGACGACTCGGCCCATGGATCACTTTTCATTTGCCGATATGTCGGAAGAAATCTACTGATTGTGAAATAGCCACCTCATCATTGGGTGTGCTCTTCAATTAACGACACAATGTTTTGTATATTGTTTTCAAGCACATGCGACTCTTCTCTTTCAGAGGTCGTTTTGGTTCCCGGAAGAACCAGACGCTGAGATTGTTATACCTGAGATTCCACCACAGGACCCAAAGTATTTTGAGCGGCCAGGCGAAGACTTGGTTCCCGGAATACAGGTGCAGAATCTGGTGAAGGTAAGCGGTCAAGCATTGTCCCTAAAATGGAGTCGTAAACACGAGTCGCTTCGAGTCGGTGACATGACGGTGCGAAACTGGCATAAAAAAAAGTTACAAAATCCCGATATTAAATACGTTGTAGGAGCACACACGTAAAAAGAAACATGAATCTCGGAACATCGACAAAACTCACAATTAACAGACTTTGCCTTAAGCCTCACAACCAACCAACCACCCGGTTTGACTCCAACAACCCGGGTTGATCCGAACATGTTTTTGTTATACGGTTAATGCTGTACGATGGGTCGCTATTTTATTTGACTGAAATTTTTATGACGCGCAGGGAATGAAGCCGTCTCGGGGTGCTATAATATGATGTGCTGACTATAAGATGTAGGTCTACTCGTTCTTCAGTGCGGTCAGTGCCAGACCAACGATTGTGCGCGTAGTAAACCTGAGCATGGGTGTGTGGTGAACAGACTTATAACACAAGCCCGAGCGTCACGGACAGCGAGACAAGAATATCTCGCTATAGAAAAAAAAATCAGTTAACATGATGAAGACATGAGTGAGCAGCATAAAATCATAATGCCCCCCCCCCCTTGCCACAATGGGCTTCTTCTTGTTAAAATAAGTCTACAGTGTAGCAATGACAAGAACAAAAAACAAATTAATTGAAGATCTTGAGGTAAATGTATTTAAGGACTGTAGCAGCATAAAGTTACAGTTATATTTACATTAAATTTACCTTATTTAAAATGTTCCTTTCCTGGCCTTCAAAGCTGCAAACCTGACATTCGTGCTCAAATGTTAAAGGGCGGTGCTAGTGATGAATCGGCGAAAATACTAATTGTTAAGCATTTCTGTGTTTCGATATTTTTGGTTTCAAAAACCTCTTTTTAAAATTTAAATTAGAAATTTGTGTAGAATATTATTTTGTTATAAATGGGTATAAGATCTTTTTTTTTCTTTTTTTTTTTTTTGTTTTTAATTCGAATCGGCGAAAATACTAATTTTTAAGCAATTTTTAACGATTCGATTAGAATTGGCTGACCAAATCGTTTTTAAAGTTTCAGTGAAAGCTTTATTTCTATTCAAAAACCTCTTTTTAAAATTTAAATTAGAAATTTGTGTAGAATATTATTTTGTTATAAATGGGTATAAGATCTTTTTTTTTCTTTTTTTTTTTTTAGTTGTTAATTCGAATCGGCGAAAATACTAATTTTTAAGCAATTTTTAACGATTCGATTAGAATTGGCTGACCAAATCGTTTTTAAAGTTTCAGTGAAAGCTTTATTTCTCACCATTTAGGTAAATATAGCTTCAAGTCACCTAAGAAAGTCACCTAATATTTCTATCGGCGTTGAATAATGGTCAAAACGATGTTTTTGTAGGTTCACCTCATTTATGACGCATCACCCTTGAACTTTTAATAAAGCACGCAATTGGATTGGTTATTTGTGTGGACAATTAACGTGTGATCGGTCCTCCTTTTGGTTAGACTGATCAGTGTGTGCTCTGTAAATGTGCAATTTTTCTAAATTTTGTGTCACCACCCCCCCCCACGCCCCTGCCCGACACGGTCTCACCCGGTGCTGTCCGCGACCCCCGCAGCCCCTAGCTGTTTATAAGATGAATGATTAACTGTGTGTAAATATGGTCGCTTTCGCTGCACTTTGTCTGTGAATAGCATCAATACGCTGGTATAAATAAAACGTTGTGCTTTGAAGTTGACTATCATATATCCAGGTCGCGTTTTTTTTATCTACACTTGAGATTATAGATTGAAGAGACGTTCAGATGAAGTTGTTTTTTTATGCCTACTTGAGATGATAGATCTAAGAGTTTTTAAAATGGAAAAGTTGTGTGTGGCTACTTGCGGTAATGGATTGAAGAGATTTTAAATGGAGAAGTGTATTTTAGTATGAACAAACTTAATTTCTATTTCATTGAACCTCATATTCAGACGTTTGGTGACATGATTGCAGTTCGTGGCGTGACCTTGGATGTCTACAAGGACCATATCACAGTACTCTTGGGACCTAATGGAGCAGGGAAAACTACAGCAGTATCTATCATCACAGGTCACAACAACAGCAATATCTTTAATCACAGGTCACAAAACAGCAATATCTATAATCACAGCTCACAACAACAGCAATTTCTATAATTACAAGTCACAACAACAGCAATATCTATAATCACAGGTAACAAAACAGGAAAATCTATAATCACAGGTCACAGAGCTTCAATGTCTATAATGGCAGGTCACAACATCAGCAATATCTATAATCATAGGTCACAGAGCAGCAATATCTATCTCCACAAGGGAATATTATTTAAATAAAATTGATCTTATTCTATCCAAATAATCAAATTGTTACAATTGATAAAGCTGTTTTAATGTTCATTCGAAGTTCGAAGTTTTTTTGTCCATAATTTATAAAATGAAAATGATTATCTATTTAATGCACTTACTTCAAAGTCTTGATCAAATTTGGAAGGAAAAAAAATGAATGCATTCAAAGCCTTTAGCGGTAACAAGCTAAAGAATAGGATTTACAGGTCTAATTACTCTAGATATCTTACAATGGAACTTCTGGCTATAGGTTAAATTACTCTGGATATCTTAAAATGGAACTTCTGACTGTAGGTTAAATTACCCAGAAACAGCCAGGCACTGGAGTCTTTCAAAACCGATTTGAAAACATATCTTTTTCGCAAACACCTTTTGGGGGTGATGTTGTCTACCATCTTTTCCTGCTAGCTAATATCTTATAGATGTATAGTGTCCTGTGCTGTTTATGGGTATGCTCGTATGTAGTTTTGTAATGTTGCGTTTTGTACTTCTATGTGGTAAAATATAGATTTTTTCATTTCTCTTTTAATATGGATGACTTTGTACCGCGCTTCGAGCCTTTGGGGATTAAGCGTGATTTTCAAATAAGCTTTATTACTCTTATTATTTTATTAGATATCTTACAAAGGCACTTCTAACTATTTGAAATGACTCAAAAATTGTCGTATACTGGAACTTGTGACCAAGTTCAGCTACTCTACATGTCTCTGGTAGGTTCGATACATAGTGGAATCTCTCAGTTAAATTATTGCTGAATATGTCTTATACTTCTTGGCACGATTCGGTATAGGTGACATCATCAGTGGCACTGCAGCCCATGTGGGGCCCCGGCCTGCTCCACCACATCCTTCCATTCAGAACGAATCATGGCATTCCACCTACATACGCGAACCCCCAACTGGGGTAAATCCTTCTTTACATCGTCGATCCATCACAGTTTTGGTCTACCGATGAGCCGCATGCCCCTTGGTTTCTGTCTGTAGATCCTTTTTCCTGCGCTAGAATCTGGCATCATTTCAATAAGTTCTGTCCAGAGCAGTCTGACTTTTTTTTTAAGGTGGGACCTATGGGCGAGTCTTTGTAAAGTTGCTACAGCTCAAGGTTTGTACGGATTCTCCAAAACATAATTGTATAATAACGAAACTTCTAAGTTATCATATATCACACTCCTAGGTTTAACTCGACATATATAGCACTCCTAGGTTTAACTCGACATATATTGCACTCCTAGGTTTAACTCGACGTATATTGCACTCCTAGGTTTAATTCGACATATTATAATCCCACCCCTAGGTTTATTGCCCCCAACAAGTGGCACGGCGTTTGTCAATGGATTTGACATCAAGAAGAACATCAAACAAGTACGAGAAAATATTGGACTCTGCCCCCAGCACGACGTCCTGTTTCCAAAGCTGAACGTCAGGGAGCATCTCTATTTCTACTGCAAGGTAAGTTGCCAAATGAATCCAACTTTAATATTAAACTGTATTCTATGGGACCAAGCTGTCGCTCTTTTTATGACCCCGGGCATGCCGTATCTGCTGGGCGTCGCCGTAAATCAGACCTCCCCGCGTGGGTGCCCGGAGTGTTGCCCACCCTCCACTCGTTAGTACTGGGCACTGGGCTAGTAAGTGCACCACTGTCTCCGGCGCCGGCCCGCAGCTCCGTTCCGAAGCGTGTGGACAAGACAGGAATGAATCCAACAGGCGCGGGGTGGAATGCACAGGGGTCACGAGATGTCAGGCAGCCAATCTCATAACCAACGCTATCATAACAAAACCTATCATAACCGTCGCTATCATAACCAACGCTATCATAAACATCGCTATCATAACCAACGCTATCTTAACAACACCTATCATAACCGTCGCTATCATAACCAACGCTATCATAAACATCGCTATCATAACCAACGCTATCATAACAAAACCTATCATAACTATTGCTATCATAACCAACTCTATCATAACCAATGTAAAAACTTTAAGTCAAGCCTATGTGTACACTTGCTCTCTTTGAATTTCTGTTTGGAAACTGTTGACCAGGGCTTTAGCCTTTAATTTTTACCGTTATTTAAGTATTTTACGCACGGTTACTTGTTTCTTTTCCTCAGCTTCGTGGTCAGTATGGAGAGGGGTCTGAACAGGAGATCAATGAGATGTTGTATCTACTTGACCTGGGGACTAAAAGGAAGGCGTTCCCGCACCAACTATCTGGGGGGCAGAAACGGAAACTGTCAGTGGCGTGTGCATTTGTTGGCAACAGCAAGGTGATTCGTGAATCATCAACTATCTCACAAACCTGTGTCCCCAGTTCATCTATCTCATGCACCTGTGTTCCCTATAAACTATCTCACGAACCTGTTGTCCCCTATCAACTATCTCATGCACCTGTGTCCCCTATCAGCTATCTCATGAACCTGTGTCCCATATCAACTATCTCATTCACCTGTGTCCCCTATCAACTATCTCATTAACCTGTATCCCCTATCAACTATCTAAAGCACCTGTGTCCCCTATCAACTATCTCATGAACCTGTGTCCCCTATCAACTATCTCATGCACCTGTGTCCCCTATCAACTATCTCATGAACCTGTGTCCCCTATCAACTATCTCATGCACCCATTGTCCTCTTTCATCTATCTCACAAACCTGTGTCCCCAGTTCATCTATCTCATGAACCTGTGTCCCTTCTCATCTATCTCACAAAATGTGTCCCCTTTCATCTATCTGAGTCAATCTTCTCTCCTCTCAACTATCTCACCGTCTGCGTCATAAAATCCCAGTCTGCAGGATTTCGATTTCTCATGTTCACTAGAAGGCTTGAGGCGGGGGTATTTCCATTGAACAAACCACTGGCAGCAATGTGAGAACCTATTGCAACACCCCAGCCTAACTTTTTTTACTTCACTTAGACACCGCGGTTTTACAACCCAAATAAAAAAATGTGTCTTATAACAAAAGCCACAATGCCTACTTCAACAGCCACACACCCTTAAGCATCCTTAAACACCCTTAGACACACACCCCCCACCCAATTAACGTGTCCTGTACCAGATCACAATTCTTACGTTAACAACCACACACCATTTAACATCCCTTAAACAAACACCAAAAAAACCAACACTATGGATTCTTATAACATCCCTTAAACACACACCAAAAAAACCAACACTATGGATTCTTATAAAATCCCTTAAACACACACCAAAAAAACCAACACTATGGATTCTTATAACATCCCTTAAACACACACCAAAAAACCAACACTATGGATTCTTATAACATCCCTTAAACACACACCAAAAAAACAAACACTATGGATTCTTATAACATCCCTTAAACACACACCAAAAAAAACCAACACTATGGATTCTTATAACATCCCTTAAACACACACCAAAAAAAACAAACACTATGGATTATTATAACATCCCTTAAACACACACCAAAAAAACCAACACTATGGATTCTTATAACATCCCTTAAACACACACCAAAAAAACAAACACTATGGATTCTTATAAAATCCCTTAAACACACACCAAAAAAACAAACACTATGGATTCTTATAACATCCCTTAAACACACACCAAAAAAACCAACACTTTGGATTCTTATAACATCCCTTAAACACACACCAAAAAACCAACACTATGGATTCTTATAACATCCCTTAAACACACACCAAAAAAACCAACACTATGGATTCTTATAACATCCCTTAAACACACACCAAAAAACCAACACTATGGATTCTTAAAACATCCCTTAAACACACACCAAAAAAAACAATACTATGGATTCTTATAACATCCCTTAAACACACACCAAAAAACCAACACTATGAATTCTTATCCCTTAAACACACACCAAAAAAAACAACACTATGGATTCTTATAACATCCCTTAAACACACACCAAAAAAACAAACACTATGGATTCTTATAACATCCCTTAAACACACACCAAAAAAACCAACACTATGGATTCTTATAAAATCCCTTAAACACACACCAAAAAAACCAACACTATGGATTCTTATAACATCCCTTAAACACACACCAAAAAAACCAACACTATGGATTCTTATAACATCCCTTAAACACACACCAAAAAACCAACACTATGGATTCTTATAACATCCCTTAAACACACACCAAAAAAACCAACACTATGGATTCTTATAACATCCCTTAAACACACACCAAAAAACCAACACTATGGATTCTTATAGCATCCCTTAAACACACACCAAAAAACCAACACTATGGATTCTTATAACATCCCTTAAACACACACCAAAAAACTAACACCATGGATTTTTATAACATCCCTTAAACACACACCAAAAAAACAAACACTATGGATTCTTATAAAATCCCTTAAACACACACCAAAAAAACCAACACTATGGATTCTTATAACATCCCTTAAACACACACCAAAAAACCAACACTATGGATTCTTATCCCTTAAACACACACCAAAAAAACCAACACTATGGATTCTTATAACATCCCTTAAACACACACCAAAAAACCAACACTATGAATTCTTATCCCTTAAACACACACCAAAAAACCAACACTATGGATTCTTATAACATCCCTTAAACACACACCAAAAAAACAAACACTAAGGATTCTTATAACATCCCTTAAACACACACCAAAAAAACCAACACTATGGATTCTTATAAAATCCCTTAAACACACACCAAAAAAACCAACACTATGGACTCTTATAACATCCCTTAAACACACACCAAAAAACCAACACTATGGATTCTTATTTACCAAAAAGATTATAGCTGTTTTTTTTGATTGGCATTCCGAAGATCGTATTTCTGGACGAGCCGTCGACAGGGATGGACCCTAACGCCAGGCAACAGCTCTGGAAGTTTCTGGAGATCATGCACCCCGGACGGACGCTCCTTCTGACCACGCACTACATGGATGAGGCGGACATCCTCGGAGACCGGATAGCCATCATGGCCAAGGGCGTGCTGCGGTGTTACGGGACACCGTGGTTTTTGAAAAATGTCTACGGTTAGTAGCGCAGAGAAGGGGTAGAACTAATGGTTAGTGGAGTGTATGTGCGCGTCCATCAGTTGGGTGCATCCAAGTGTAGCGCATTTGTATATCAATAGGTTTCTATTGATGAACAGGGCCGGCTTGGGGGGCGCTATGCGCTTAGGGCGCCATCAACGATCTTTCGAGGTAGGGTAAAGAATTTCATGTGAGCACTACATGGAGAAAAATAAGTCTTATTGCAAAATGTTTGTATGCCAGGGCATTGACGGGATTTATACCATTGAGATGACAGGATCTATACCAGGGCATTGTCTGGACGTATACCAGAGCACTGATGAGATGTATACAGGGCATAGACGGGATGTATACCAGGGCCCTGACAGGATGCATACCAAGAAATTGACGGGATGTATACCAGGGCCCTGACAGGATGCATACCAAGAAATTGACGGGATGTATACCAGGGCCCCGACAGGATGCATACCAAGAAATTGACGGGATGTATACCAGGGCCCTGACAGGATGCATACCAAGAAATTGACGGGATGTATACCAGGGCCCTGACAGGATGCATACCAAGAAATTGACGGGATGTATACCAGGGCCCTGACAGGATGCATACCAAGAAATTGACGGGATGTATACCAGGGC